CTCCCTTGACCTGATCAACACTGCTCAGCCTCTGAACCGGAGCTCAAATATGAGTTCCTCAGGAAGCTCCACATCTGATGCAGATGCCCTAACACGTCCTCTCCTGTCCCAGCTGCCTGCTCCCCTCCCCTACACTTCAGGCTCCCAGGCCAGCTAGGATTCGCTGGTTGTTCTACTTCTCTGCTGTCCTGCTGGGATGTTTTGTTCTGGTTTTGCTTTGTTTTGTTTTTTTTTTAGACAAGGTCTTGCCATATAGCCCAGGCTGGCTTTGAACTCTCAGCGATCCTCCTGCCTCAGCCTCCTGAGTGCTGTTCTTTCGCTTTAGTTCTTAAATCACAGTGTTCTTCCTGCCACCATTCACAGCCAACTGCAGTGACCCCACAGCCAGGGGAAAAGGACTTCAGTCTCGGACAAAACACACAGGCCCTTTATAAACAGAAATCTGCAGCTCAGGGACAAGAAGTAGCCCCAGAGTACAGGAAACTTGAGTGGTGGCTGACTCGGAGTGCAAAGGCTGCACAGTGAGGTCAGGCAGGTGAACCCCAGGCCCCAAAGCACCAGAGCTCCGTGAGAGGTCACTTGTGGCAGCCTTCCCCAACCTCCAAAGATGCCAAGCACAGCCTCCTGGGAAACCACAGCACCCAGTCCCAGACCCCCTGAGAGTCAGCAGACCCTGTGTGTAGCCAATACTGGAAACAGCGGAAGCTTGGTCCTTGGACAAAGACGTTTGATCCCAGTCAGTCATTGCGGTCATACACGTCTGTCATCCCAGCACTCTGGGAGGCGGAGGCAGGAGGATCACAAATCTGTGCCCAGCCTGGGCTCGGCAACCGAACCACTTAACAAGATCCTGCCTCCGAATAAGAAAAGGGGGCTGGGGAGGCTGGGGATGGGGTTCAGTGCGAAAGCCCTGGGTTCAATCCCCATTACCCATTTTATAAAATGATTAATTCTCCCTTTTGGCTGCTTCCGGGTTGTTCACATCGGGTGGTTTCCGCTCTGCTTGGTGTGGCACTAGTAAGCCCACAGGGGCTGCTGAGGACCAGGCCTTGCTTCCACGGGGTGAGGGGGTGGGTGTTAGCCCCTCTAGCTTGGTCAGGGGTGGAGGAGCCAGGCCCGGGCGGGTCGCAGCTCCCTACCCCCGGCAGCCAGCGACCTGAACACAGCTACTCAGCCGTGGCCTGAGCCCCTCGGCCTCCGAGGGCCGCAGCTAAGAGCAGGCGCTGGGGGCTGCGCCCCCCGTCTTGGAAACCTCGCCTGTTCAGATGGGGACTTGGGATCCTTCCGCCCCACCGGCCCGGGAGCTGGGAGCTGCTCAGGAGCCTTCAGGAAGCACCTGCCCCATGGCTGCCGCAGTTCTGTTTTAAACAAACTTTCTGGCATATCACGGCAGGTTAGCGCATGGTCCTGGGCTCAGCTCTCACCAGCCCCGGGATCCCGAGCGGGTCACTAACTCTGAGCTTCCAGAGTCTCCCTTTTCCCCCAGAAAGATTAAGAAAGTGAAAGAACCACTCCAGTGCCTGAGCTGCGTGTGCACAGGCTGTAAGGTGTCAGCTCAGCGACCTGCACACGATAAACTTCACAAATACAGACCGTGAGACGACGGAGGTGGTGGTGATGCCTGGTTTCAGGGCCTGGGTGCCCTGTCCAGGCTGAAGCTCTTCTTCCCCAGCCGTGGGGTCACTGCAGTGGGTGGTGAACAGTGGCAGGAGGCACACCGTGGATTAAGAACCAAAGAGCAAAGAATAGCATTCAGGAGGCTGAGGCAGGAGAATTGCAGAAGACCCAAGGTCAGCCGGGGCTATACAGCGAGATCTTGTCTCAAAATATAAAACAAAAGACAAGAACAGACGGCGTCTGCATCCCTCCCCACTCAAGGCTGGGCCTGAAAGACAGCTCTTCTTGGGCAGAGCTCTGGGCAGTGCGCCGTCATCCACTCAGGACAAGCAAGACCTGTGGGCAGCTGCACGTGTCTTGGCACATTGGTCAGGACCTGGAAGGGAAAACAAGCAAACTGATCAGGGAAAGAACAGCCAGCACAGGAGCTGGGGTGTAACCTGGAAGGCCACGGATTCGATCCCCAGCCCCGCAGACATGAAACGAACAGGAGCTGAAGCTGCGTGTCCCCATCGCCCGTGGAGCCCGGGTGCATTCACCCTGAGGAGGCGCCGGGAACCCAGTGGACCATTTGGCAGCTAAGCGGCTGGCTCTGGCCACCTCCTACCCTCCCGGGCGGGGACAGTGAGGCAGAGAGGGGCGTCCCTGGCCGACCCTGGCACCAAACACCAGTGCTGAGCCCGGGTACAGCACAGTCCTTGGGACACTGGGCTCAGTTCTTGGGAGCGGCTGATTCTTGGTTCCCTTAACACCTACTACTCTGGGTCCGAGCTCATATTTTCCTTCTCAGCACTTTGCACACAGATAAACCCATGTGACTTCCTAGAACATGCAGGACGCTCCAGTCTTTGTGCCGGCCATGAGGGATGCAGACCGAGATGGTCTTGTCCTTACCGTGTATTCATTACTATGGTCTTCCTTTGTTCCTGAGGCAAGATAGCAAACTTGCCAGCATTAAAACCATTTCACATATGGAGCTGGGCATGGCGGCGCACACCTTTGATCCCAGCACCTGATGAGAGGCTGAATGAATTTGAGGCCAGCTTGGACCTCATAGCAAGACCCAAACAAATACAAATAAATTTTGAAATGAAATAAAGTGTGGATTTCAGCTTTCTCCTCGACCTTGTGAGCGTTGCCTCCACCCTGGGTAGGTTTTATCCAGACTGGGGGAGTCGCTGCAGAAGTCCCCTCTGTCACACACCTCCTATGTCCCCACCAGCCCTGGGAAGCCACAGAGACCAGGGAAGGAGAGGAGTCAGGCAATATTCTGTGGCAACCCTGAGAATCCTCTGAGAAATGGAACCCCCCACCCCAGTACGGGAGGGTGAACCCAGTGCCCTTGCCTGAGCCACATCCGCAGCCCTTTCTCACTTTGGGACTCCAGACGTGCGCCACCGTCGGGCTGACACGGAAACTGGCAAAGGCCTCCTTCCGCCGGGCCCCAGCCTGCCCACCCTCCGCCGCCGTGGGGGCGCGCGTTGCGCTTCCTGGCGGTCACCAGATCCGATGCCCTCGGTCATGAGCGTTCACGGCCAGCAAGGATGGACGACAGCAGCACGGGACAAACCCACGCCTCCCTGAGCCCCAAACTCCCCGCGTGCCAGGGGGGCCCGTTTTCAGTTACACTGGAGAGTTGGAGCCCTGGGGGCGCATCCTGAAGCTGTGTGCACAGCGGATCGCAGGCTATAGCCGGTGGGGCTTCCCGGAGTTTCCCAATGCCGGCTCAAGGCGGATGTGCAGCCGGCTGTCTCGGGGCTTCAGAAGGGGCTCAGCACAGGCGGGACAGGCAGCCGGCTCCGGAAGGAAGGCGGGAGAAAAGAACCTGAAGAACGTGGCGTCCTGGCACCCAAAGGGTAAGTTTTCAGAAGGCAAAGGACAGAGGTTCCAGTTGTGCGGCGAGAGGAGAGCTGAGGAGAGGCGCTGTGTGCGCGATTGCAGACCCTCTGAGCGCAATCGCCTTGGAGTCTGACGCCGGCTGCAGAGGCGCTGAGCGAGGACAGAGCAACTCTGAGCAGGGCTGAGCCGGAGCTGGGCAGAGGCCTGGCTGCACGCCTAGGACCAGCAATGTGACAGCCGGCTCTCCTATTCCCCAGACTCCGCGTCACTTCCTGGAGGCGCCTACTCCGTCCAGACCCCCCTGTCTCAGCCTCGCCTTAGGCCAGACGCGAGCTGCCCGTGAGACCCAGAGGTTAACTTTCTATGGAGCACAGCTGGGATCCAAGTCTGTTTCCAAGGTTCTTTTTATGACAGACACATGCCATGTGGAGTCAAGGAAAGGGTGACTGGCTGTTATTTTAAGAAGAGAGGCTTAGGCATTTGGCCTGTTCATTGGTGGAAGGACATTAGATATAAACTGTAACTTTCCACTGCTGCCCCCCAAACTCACTCCCTTTATGCAAAGTGTATTTAGTCCATCTCTAAGAGTTGCCGGAGCCCTAACACTTTACGCGCTGCTGTGAAGTCCGAGTCTAGTCTCCTCTATGATTTAAGGCAAACTCTTTCCTGTTTGCCCCAGAAAAATGAAAAGCTGAACACTGCTGACCTACAAAGGTATGGGGCAAATGTTTCCACTCCAAAGGGGAGAAAAGGAGGACAGAAAGGAATGAGACCAAAACCCCTCAGGGAAAACATGAAATCCCCTAGTCCCATGTTCAGCAGCCAGCTTTAGTCTCTTCGGAGTCCTCAGCACAGACCCCAGCTGTGGGAGTTCTAGCCAATGATTTTATTACAAATCCCAATTTCTTTTTTTTTTTTCCTCTCTCATTGAGTTTATTGGTACATTTTAGGTACACAGTACAGTTACATTCATCATTGGGATCCTGTACCTTTACATGACAGGTCTTGGTTCTCATTTTTTCCCCTTGTCCCTGCCCTCCCTTCACCCCTCCTCCCCTCCCCCTTTACAAACACTTTATTTCCATTTTTTTCATTTTCTCTTATTTTTCCTTTTCCCTTATTCCCTTTCCCCTACCCTTCCACTTCCCTACACCTTTAGCCCCTTTCTTCCTAGTTCACACTGTCAATGATATCATTAGGATCCTGTGTACTATTACAGTTTATCCACACCAGAGCTACAAACCCTAATCAGGAAGCAGGTGGCTATTCCATCCCCACAAAGCACTGGCCCCCTGCTGCCCAGGCCGGGGAGGGTCAGGAGGGGCCGCCTGATGTCTCTCAGCCCCATAAGGGCAGCCTGGGAGCGGCTGGAGGAGCGGAATTCGCTCCTGGCTGTGAGATTGATTCCTTCTTTCCTTTTTTGGTACCGGGAATCGAACTCGGGCCCTTGCACTTGCAAGGCAGGTGGTGGAACCACTGAGCCAAATCCCCAGACCCCCTTTTCTCCTTTCTAAAGACAGACCCAGACCTAGCTGAGGGGCCAGATGTCATCACGGCCAGCTCCGAGGAGCCTCAGGCCTTGATTCAAGCAAAGGAAGAATTTGGGTAAAGTTCCCGGGGTGCAGGAGGAGGGGAGGACGCACCGCTCTGGACTCTGGCTGTCTACTTACTCGTCTGTACTTGAACCTTTCACAGCAGCCAGTCGGGAGGAAGTGGCTGGAATCCAGGCAAAGTTCCCAAACAAGATCCGGGTGAGACCTGGCGCCTCCTTCGCGGGTCACGCCCCCACCCCTGAAAGAGCCAAGACTGGCCAGTGGGCGGGGCTCGGCCAGCCCAGACCCTGGCTGGGAGCTGGCCCTGTGGACAGCTGCTCCCCCTCTCGTGCCAGGTGATCCTGGAGGAGACCCGCGTGAGCAGTCCCTGCCCCTGCTGGGCAAAACCGAGTTCCGGGTCCCGCGGGAGCTGACGGTGAGCCAGTTCCTGGACATCATCCGGCAGGTGACGCTAGACCTGGGCTTGTCCTGTTTCACTGACAGTTTCATTTGGGGAATGGCACCCTTTCAGGAGAAGTGTGTGTGTGTGTGTGTGTGTGTGTGTGTGTGTGTTTCCTTTTTAGATTCTGTAATGTCCTGAAAAGATGCTCTTAGAATTATTTTATTCTAATTTTTTTAAACAAGATCTCACTATGCAGAGTTCAGGATGGCCTCAAACTTACTATTTTGTCCAAGCTATCCCAGAGCTCATGGTGATTCTCTTTCCTCAGCCTCCTGAGTACTAGAATTACAAGCAGGCACCCCCACGCCTGGCCAAGTTACTTAATTTTAAATGAGTGAAATCCAAGTATGGTGGTGCAAGCCTGTAGTCTTAGCACTTGGGAGGCTGAGGCAGGAGGATTCCTTAGCACATGTGAGGCCCTGGGTTTCACTCCCAGCACGCAGCTCGCATGTCAGGGTTGGCTTGGAGGAAACAAATCCACCTGTCTGCTACAGAGCGCTTGGTCCCCCTGAAGGCTGCGGGCCGAGGGTGCGGTGCTGGGCTGTGTGAGCTTCTCCAGTCACAACAAAGAAAAGAGTGCTGGCCTCCTTCCGGGTGAGACTGGGCCCTCCTGCCTGCCGTCTGTGTCATCTCCGTCCACCACTCCTGGGTGATTAAGAACTCGCGGGCCCTGGACATCTAACGCCCACCCAGCCAAACCTTCCTGCTGCCCTGCCTCCTGCGGGTGCCAGAGCCCTGGCGGGCTGGGCACTGGGCACGCTCCAAGCACCCTCTAAGTGCCACCCAAGGCTGCCGGCAGGGAGATGCCCCAAGGGCATGTGCACCGCCTCTGTGCCTCACACTTCACAGTGGCCTGGGTGCATCTGCGCTGTGTCCGTGCTGGCAGCCTCCTGGTTAGCAGCGGGACCGACGGGGCGGGTGCAGGGAGGTCTTCCGCCTTCCGGAGCACCCTGGTCCTGCAGATTCTGAGCTGCTCCCCCCCAAGAACCCCTCACTGCCCTCCCGTCCAGGAGCCGCATGCCCCTGAGGGCCCTGGAAGCCTTTTACTTGCTGGTGAACCAAAGAGCCTGGTCAGCATGAGTGTGGCCATGGCAGAGGTCTACAGGGACCACAAGGATGAGGACGGCTTCGTGTCTGTGACCTACGCCACCCAGGAGACAGCAGCACCCATGGGAGGGAGAGGGCCTGGGGACAGAGCCAGGGACCTCGAGTCTGCGTCAGGAAGAACTCATCCCCTGGGGCGGCGCAAGGGACCCTGTGACTTCTCCCACATGTCCCGGGCAGGGTCGGGACGCAGCAAGCCCAGGGCCTTGGGCTCTGCCAGGGACAGTGAGGCTGCGGCCTTGCTGCTTTACTTCCTTTGTCCTCCGTGCTCTGGTGATCTCTAAGGAGAGTGGGGAGGCTGGAAACAGCGGCTGCTCTGCGTGGCAGGTGGGGAGCTTGGTCTAGAGGCAGCGGAGTCAGGAGTCCCACAGAGGAGGAGGCAGGGACCCGAGGCTCCCACTGTGTGTCAGGGCCCAGGGAGCCCTGGCCAGCAGGCACTGGGGACCTGGGGAGCTGCCCAGGTTAGCGGCCCTGATGTCATCCAACCCGGTTGGGTCCTCTGATTTGCTTTGTCTACGCCACACACCTACGTCCAAGTTGTCATTTCTCAATACCAAGTCATTACAACCCTGCAAGTGCTTTCTGGGTGCCAAGCTTTCTTCTGAGCTCCTTCTCACAGCTCTGTGGTAAACTCCTGTCGTGAACGCACAGGGGTGAAACTGAGGCTCAGGAATGGTTTCAGATTCACACGATGCCATTAGCAGGACTTGAGGCTGGGGAGTTGGGCTGCGAAGCCAGGCACCTTGAGATCTGCTAGGTCCCTTCCGCCTTAGAGAGTGACAAGTGATACTGGGGTGGCTGCAGAGGACGTGGGTGTCACCTAGAGGGTGTGGGTTGCACAGGTGCGTAAACAGCTGTTTCACTCAGCAGCAGTTCAACATGCACGAATCCTCCCGGGGGCGCTGGGAGGGCACTGGCGTGGAAGGTTTTACAGCGAATTGAGCTTGAGCTGGGTTTTGAAGCATGGATAGGAGTTTGTATAGGGCTGGGCGTGGTGGTACACACTTGCAGTCCCAGCACTCTAAGAGGCCGATACAGGAGGATTGCAAATTTGGGCCCAGCCTGGACAATTTACTGATTTTGCAGGGCTCTCTCTCAGAATAAAAAAAGGGCTCAGTGCGAAGGCCCTGGGTTCAAACCCCACACTGCAACACCAAATAATTTGTCTAAGAAGGACTTTTACTTATTCATCAACAAATACTGACTGAGCACCGGTACCCACCAAGCTTTATCGTAAGTCCTGGAGAGACTAACAGCGCGCCAGACGGCAAGGCCCGCTTCTCATGGCGCTCACATTAATTCTAGCAGAGAAGGAAACATGACATCCAGACACAAGTACATTAAAGAAGATCAGAAGGGCTGGCAGATGGGACCCATCATGTGGGCTGCTCAGAGAGGCAACAGCTCTCACCTGGACGGACCCCTGAGGGGGCAGAGACCAGAGGAAGTGGGGTCTCGTGAGGCTTCCGTGCACCCGCCCCCTCCAGCATCTGCTGGCCCCTGCTCCCGGCTGCTGTCCGCCCACAGCTCCCTCCCCTCCTGGCTGCCAGGCCAGTCAGTTCCCCCGCATGCGTTTGTCCTCCAGACGTGTCTCGGTCACTTTACCTTGATCCGGTGAGTGTTCTTCCGAGCATCTGGGCAGCTGAAGCAAGAGCCCAGCCTGGACAACTTAGCAAGACCCCGCTCAGATTCTTTAAAACATTGTTTAAAATGGATTGTGAGTGAAGCTGGGCACGGTGATGCCTCTATAATTATAATCCCAGCACTCTCGGGAGGCTAAGACAAGAGGACTGCCCCAAGTTTGAGGTCTGTGTGGAAAGTTCAAGGCCAGCCTGAACTACATACTGAGACCCTGTCTCCAAAATTAAAATTTTAAAAAAGGATGGCAGCCAGGTGTGGTGGCACATGCCTGTAATCCCAGCACTTGGGAGGCTGAGGCAGGAGGATCGCTGTGAGTTCGAGACCAGCCTGGGCTACATAGTGAGTTCCAGGGCACTCATGTACACAGTGAGACCCTGTCTCAAAAAAACAAAAAAAACATGTACTTGAGGTAAGTGAGCTTCTGGTGGGCATGAGCCCAGGACACTGGCCTATCTGTCTGCAGTGGGCTCTCCTCCTCCCACTGTCAGCCTTGCCCACTTCCTGGTCTCTCACAGATCAGGACACCCCGACTCTCGATTCTGCACGGTCATCCTCTGGGCTCGTGGCTGGCCTCTGGGACCCTCCCTGGGCAGCATCCGCTCCTGCGGGACGGCAGGCACCGCATGGGCTGTTCAGGACAGCGCCAGCCAGCCTGTGTGGGGCAGGCAGCACTCGGGCCTCAGCCAAACCTGGGGCCCAAAGAGCACTGCTCAGGCCCACAGAGTCTGTGAGAGGGGTTTCAGAAAGCACGGGAGCAGCCATTTGACTGTGCCTGGATGGAGTCAGGTCGGAGAAGCAGGACCCAAGAAGCTGAGACAGCGCTGACCCAGCCACAGGGACGGGTTTCTCCCAGCTACAGTCGGGGTGATCTCTTAGAGGCTGTGCAGGAACTGAAAATCAATTGGGAATTTGTACTCCGAGTTGTGACCGCTCCTCTTTTAGTTATTATTCTCTGCTGAGTTTTGTCAGCTGCCTAACTCATTGCTTACCATGTACATTCAAACTAATGACTCAGTTCTTCCCTTTGGCACCGGGAATCGAACTCAGGACCTTATACTCGCCAGGCAGGTGTGGCACCACTGAGCCACGTCCCCAGCCCCCAGTTCTTCTCCGTCTTCATCATGGCTGATTTTATCACACAGATGCCTTTTGTTTTCGTGTGATCTCTTCCTTTGTGGCATCTGAGGCGTGTGTCTCTAGACAGACTCTTTCAACTCCAAGATGATAAAATAATACATAATCATCCGTGTTCTCACACTATGCTTACCTTGTGCTTACGCTTAAGTATTTGAACAAACTAGAATTTATTTTGGTAATAGGAGAAATACCAGATTCCATTTTTTCCCAAATGCCTGACCAATTTTCGCATAGAAATTTAATGAGTAATCTCTCCATGGGTGTTTGACTTTCTTGTCACTGTGTCTATGCACCTGTCTTAGCACCACGATAACACCAAGAGAATTCCTTAAGGATATGGACTGTAAACTAGGCGTGGTGGCACACACCTGTAATCCCAGCACTCAGGAGGCTGAGGCAGGAGGATCACGGGGAGTTCAAGGCCAGCCTGGGCTACACAGTAAGACCCTATCTCAAACCAAAAAAAGCAAAAAACATGGACCAAAACTATTGGAGGCAGAGGTCCCTCGTGATTCACAGCAATACTAAGTACATCTTATATAGTGCATTAGTTCTTTGAGGTAAATTAGAGAAACAGTGTCAACTTCATAGGGAGAGAACAGAACTGTTGAGTTTGATATGAGCAGCTATTTTCAGTGATTGGGTCAGGCTGAGAAAGTTTTTAATTGGAACAGTTCTTAATTTTGAGGGAGGGGAGGTCTCCTGTTCCAGTACATTAGTCACCTCTTCACACTCATGAAACAGACGGGGGCGAACAGAAAATGCAGTTGCTCATATCACCACACACATGGGAACTTCCGTGGATCCCAGATGCACTTGAGATCCCACATGGGAAATCCGCACTGCCTGTACCTGGGTTGGTGTGTATCCATAACGCACAGTCGGGAGGGAGCCCTGCCCCGCCCCGGATGTTGTCTCTGCCCCGCCCCGGATGCTGTCTCTGCCCCGCCCCGGATGCTGTCCTGGGTGCTTCTGTGCTGCAGTAGCGGTTGAGCAGCTACGGTGGAGTCTACCGAACTCGCAGGCTCTAAAATGCTCCTGCTCTGAGGCCTTATAGAAAGCACAGTGTTTGCAGCAAAGGGCTGTCGTCAGGATTTCCTGGGGGGACTGGGGTGCAGCTCCGTGGTACAGCACGTGCAAGCCCCTGGATTCCTTCCCGGGCACCACCAAAACGAAGCGTTGGGAGAGAAGTCGCTGGCCCCGCAGCAGGTGAGAAGCGGACTCTCCTTCTCCTGCACTAAGGGCCTTCGCCTCCGGGCTGAGCGCGGCTGGGTGCAGAGCCCTTCACAGGTCAGAAGGCGTCTCGGTGCTGCCCACCTCCCCACACTTCGTGTGCCCTGCGTTCGTCTGGAAGATTTCTAAGCGTGTCATTTCCTTTCACAGACCCAAGGAGCCCGTGGCACCTGTTTGCCAGAAATCTTCAGGTGGGAGCCGGATCCTGGGTCGCCTGGCCCGTGCCCGCAGAGACGCACACAAGTCCGTCTTCGCCGTGGTCCCGGGAGAACGCTTTCGTCACCAGGTAGACCTGGGTCCTAAACAAGGTTCTGCGCCGTGGGTCTCGGATATTAATCGCTGTATCTGTTTTTCTTCTGAAAAATCAACACGAGTCCAGGATTCGGAACATGAAGACCCTCTGAACGGGCCATTTGCAAAGATCATTACTCCCCCCCACCCCATACTGGAGACTGGACCTTTGCATGAGCTACATTCCCAGCCTTTGTTTACCTTTTATTTTAAGACAGGGTTTTGCTAATTCGCTTTCCTCGGCCTCCCAGAGGGCTGGGGTTGCAGCCATGCGCCACACGCCTGGGAAGATTGGTACTCTTGGCCTTTCAGAGTTTCCAATCACGTCTGCGCTCCTCACGTGCCCCGCTAACGGGATGCACCTGGGACTGCGTCCTCCGCCCGACCCCCAGGCGTTCATTCTCGGTTTCCCGCATTTTTAAGCCCCCGCGGACAACTGCCACCAGGTGGCGCCAACTCTGCTCCTTGGAGTTGAGCTAAACCAATTGGTTGCCAACGTAAATCCTCCGATTTTTGTCTTGATGGGTTTATTTAAACTTTTGAAAAGGCTGATTCTAGCCAAAGGGCAGGTCCTAAATAGATGCTGAGAGGAGAACACGAAATGTGCCTCCTTATAGGAATGCCAGCCAGCCCACAGGGAGGAACTGCTGAGACCTCTGAAGAAGCGGACACCGGAAGGGAGAGCTAACTTCTCGGCACCTGGTGCTGCCATGGCAACTGGTGCTCACAGATGATGTCATCATGACTGGCTGTGTGCAGGTGGATTATGGGGAAAAGACTGCTTGCGTAAATAAATGCATGAATGAAGAGGCCATTATTAAGGCAGGGAGCAAGATATAAACACCTGTGATCCTCGCACCCTGGGAGGCTGAAGCAGGAGTATTGCCCCAAATTTGAGGCCATCCTAGGATACCCAGACCTTGTCTCAGAAATAACACAATCTCCAGAGCCTGCCTCACAAGCAAAAGTACCAGAGTTCGATCCCCAGTACAAACAAAACAAAATAAAAAACAGGTGAGCTTTTTAAGGGCTGGGGATTTAGCTCAGTGGTCCCCACCCCCCACCTCAAAAGCGCAAAGACCCGAGGTCGATCCCTGGTACCAAAAAAGCCCCACAAAAAACACTTTCTGTGGACACTGAAATTTGAACTTAAAGAAATTTTAATCTAAGTAAAATTTACTTAATTTATTTTTCCAAACCTCTTGAAAATGTAAGAAATATTCTTAGATTTGATTTTATATTATTTTACTTTAGTGCAGTACTGGAGCTTAAACCCAAAGCCTTTGCACTGAGCTACATCCTCAGCCCTTTTTATTTTTCATCTTGAACCAGTGTCTTACTAAGTCAAGTGGCCTAGGCTGAGCTTCAACTTTCAGTCTTCCTGCCTCAGCCTCCAAGACTGCTGGGATTACACACATGCACCTTCTTGCTCTGCTTATTCTTATCTCTTGTATCAAAACAAGTGGTAGCCAGGGAGCCTGTGGTCCCAGGTACTTGGGAGGCTGAAGCAGGAGGTTCTCTTGAACCCCAAATTCCCAGACCCACCTTGGGGCAAGATAGCAAACTCTGTCTCAAGGAAAAAAAAATGATGGCAGTCCGGATTTGTCCCCGGCCAGAGTTTGCAGACCTGGGTCGGTGGCTGTGAGCCTGTGGCACCGTGGGCCTCCCGTGGAGTGCAGATTACAGTCTGGGCTGCGGAGTGATGTGCCTGACCAGGTCCCCGAGCCCCAGGCTGCAGGCCAGGCCCTCACGGGGACAGTCTCTGCTGTGTAGCCAGTGGAGACAGGAGACCGGCGGACGGGAGGAGCGGTAGGGAGCGCTCCCAGGGGGCGATGTGAGCACAGCGGACCCGGCTGGGACCCCCTCCTGGACCGGGCTCCTGGAGGCAGAGACTCCAGCGGAGAGAGGCAGGGAGGAGAGGGAAACCGGGAAGCAGACCAGAAACCAGGCTGTTCCAGTGCGGTCCGCACGGAAGCTCAGCTCGGGCTGGGCCCGGAGCAGGGGCGCTGTCACTTGGGGAAATCGAGGCCCCGGTTTGGGGCGGGCGAGCGAGGGCAGAGAGCTCTTCCTGCATCTTTGACTTCTTCGTTTTCAACTCCAAATCATCCTTAAACCAAAGCTCATGTTGGGGCAGCCCATAGTGATGCCTCACTACCGCCACCTGCTGGGTGCCCCACCACTACTCTGGGCTCCGGAGTCCGGTTGGGAAAAACAACAGGGCGTGCAGTTGGCGCCGGCCTGAGACTGGCGCTTAGCACACACCGGGCTCGCGTGCCTGTGGCTCTACTTGGTTTTCTGCAGTGCTGGAGATAAACCAGGACCTAATATACTCCAGGCAAATGTTCTGCCAGGAGCTACACTCCCAGCCTGCCGTGGGAGTGGGTTAATCTTTTAATAATCTATCTTTATTTTATAATGGATTGATTGATTGATTGATTGATTGAGACAGGATCTTGCTGTGTAATCCAGGCTGGCCTTGAACTCACTATGTAGCCCAGGCTGGCCTCAAACTTGTGGCGATCCTCCTGCCTCAGCCTCCTGATTGCAGGGATCACAGGTGTGCACTGCCACACTCGGCTGTCTTTAGGGCTTTTTTTCTTCTTTCTTCTTTCTTGTTTTTTCTTCCCGGGGATCGAACTTAGGACCTTGAGTTTGGGAGGCAGGCGGCTGCACTATTGAGCTAAATTCCCGGCCTCTGGCTATCAGATGTTTTAAAAATTCCACCGTCATTCCTTCAGAGGAAGCAGCAGTAAGAGTGTCGGGAAAGTGGGAAGAGCTTGAGATACAGGCCTGTCTCAGGCTGCTCGATGCCCAAGAAGTGGAATCAGGATCTCAGAGACTCCTCCACTCCCTTGCCATGCCTGAGGGTCCGTCGTGTGTGTGACTAAATAAAGGGAATGTGGTGGCACTGTGTGTGTAAACATACACAGCAGGCTGTTACACAGCCTTTGAAAAGGAAAGCTGGGTGCCAGGCATGGTGGTGCTTGCCTGTGATTCCAGCACTCAGGAGGCCGAGGCAGGAGGATCACTGCGAGTCTGAGTGCAATCAGATTCCTAAATCCTGGTTCCCGAACCACATCAGGCAGCCCGAGCGCATGTGGGTGATGGCAGCGTGGGGTGGCTGCTGGCCCTCTGCTGCCCAGACCTCCTCCGAGGCGCCTGCGTTCTTCTGCGGGAGGCCGGCCCAGCTCCTGCAGGAGCAGGGAGAAGGCAGAGCGGCTCTTCAGCCCTCAGCCGTTTATCTCCACGCAGGCTGTGCCCGCGCAGACTGAGCTGGGGTGAGACGCTGCGCTGTCCGTCTGAGGGCCTCGCCAGCCGCTGCCCGCACTTGGGGCACGTCGCGGCAGGAGACCTGCAGAAGGACAAGGCAGTGCAGGTCAGTGCGCCCGCGTGGGTCCCTGTGTCCTCTTGGACCCTGCGAAGAGGACCAGGCGGAGCTCCGTGGGCCGGTGTCCCGGGTGTGGCCGGGCAGCGCTCTGTCCACTCCATTCCTGACATTTCCTGACTGCCGTGCCCTCGCCACCCCAGGGCCCTGGACTGAGAAGGAGGCCAAGATCCAGGAGTCTGCCAGGGCTGTGGACAGGGTCTTTACCTCCCTCAAGATACACAGTTTATTTAAGTTACCTGGAAAAAAAAGAAAAACTTCTAAATCATTATAGTAATAATTATGGGTGGGGGAGGGGAGCTGGGCGTGGAGGTACACACTTATAATCCATCTTATTGGGAGGCTGAGGCAAGAGGATGGCAACTGAAGCCAGCCTGGGCAATTTAGTGAGACCCTACCTCAAAAAATAAAGAAAACATGTGGGAGGTATAGCTCGGTGGTAGAGGGCTTAGCATTCATGGACCTCTGGGTTCAATCCTGAGTGACAACGTAAAAAAGGGACAAGGATGGTGTGATCCTGCCATCTGTGACAGAATTATGCTGAACACGGACAGCATAATGCTGAGTAAAATACTAGGGCAGAGAAACAAAACTATTGCATGATTTTTCTTATATGGCATTGAAAACACAGCCTTGTGCATTCGAGAGAGCAGTCAGGAGGAAGCGAGGTGGTCGGCAGTGTCTGTGCTCCCAGCTACTCAGGAGGCTGAGGCAGGAGGGTCAATTGAGCACAGGCTTTCAAGGCCCACCTGGGCCAAATAGTGAGATCCTTTCTCAGTAACAAAAACCAAGGTTGGAGAAATTTTGGTGAAGGATTTGGGAGTTAAGATAAGTGACAGTTGTCGCTGCTGTGGAATATTTTGCTTACACCTCCGGGTCACGAGTCACGAACCAGACCACCTGTAAAATGGGGAGACTGCACCTCAGCACAGTGCCAACAGCACCGAGTGTGTTTTAATGACGTATGGAGAAAGACACCATGCAGGAGAACAGATTTACTCTCTTTTCCGTTTCTGATGCCACCAGCTGGGCCGGTTGTGTCACACGTTGAGCCATGAGAACTTTCTCCCTGCCAGGTCCCCGCTGCCGTCTCCTCCCGGCCCTGGGCCGCCTGTGCACCTTCGCCATGGCAGCAGTGGGTTTGGAGCCTGCTTTTCCTCACTGCAAAGCTCCCCCACCCGGCCTCCCTCCAGCAGTTCCGCCTTCGGAGGCAGCCTTGCCTTTGGCTCTGAATGTGTCAGATTGGGCTCTTAGTTTCCCTGCCACTTTCCATCCAGCATTTATCTAACCCTGAAGAGTGGGCCGCAGGGCCCCCGGGGGTCGGGGGTTCTGCTCGCCCTGAACTCGGAGGAATGGAGCCCTGGAGGTAAACTCTGTCCTGCTGCAAACAGGATTCCTTCCAGCTTTCCTCTCGAAGTTAGGGAGCCTTAGAGTTACAAGAAGGTTGGGATGGTTTGGGGTTTGGTTTGGTTTTTGCACTGCTGAGGACTGAACCAAAGACCTTTGCATGAAGCTACAGCGCCAGCCCTTTTGTTGTTTTGTGTTTTGAGCCTGGATCTTGCTAAGTAGCTCAACTGTCTGTGCTGGACTAAGACTGTCATCCTCCTGCCTCGGCCTCCCAGATTGTTGGGTGTGCACTGCCACACCAAATGTAGAAGGCTTTAACTGACAAGTGCAGAGGCTTTCTGCACTTCTCCATCGGGATGTCTATGCTGGACGTTGCTCACACGTAGGATCCACGCGGAATCTGACAGCACCTCCAACACCTTGACGCTGAAGTGGTAGGAAAACCAGAACCACCGAAACTCCGCAAATTTCTCGGGCTGACACCGCGTCGGTGATGGTTTGTGAGCAGCTCCAAGGTGCCTGTGATTCCAGCCTGCTCTTTCCTGTTGGGAAATGAATGTGGAACGTGGCAGAAATGACTGTAAAACTCAGCAGTAACAGTTGAGACCCCCTCAGGATAGCTCCCGCCCTGCCACCCTCCTCCCTGAGCTGGAGAGTGAGGTCCGGCTCCCCGCTCCTGAGGCCAGGCACAGTGGCATCTTGCATCCTCCTCACCTCTCAGCCCCACAGCCGCTGCCAGTCAGTTCTCCCCCCGAAGCAGAGCTGGGCTGTCCCTGTTCGCTGGCCTGTGCTCACCTTACTGCCTCAGTCTGTCTTCCGGGGGGTTAAAGGCTGGGCCTGAGCGCCCCCTCCTGAAATTGCTCCCTTCCCGGGGCCTCTCATCCTGACAGCGATGCCCACCTGCCTTCTGCCTTCTGGGGTCCCTGCTCTGCCTGTGCCCTTGGTCACTTCGCTCCAGAGTGCTGTCCTCTCGGTCACCAACTCTGATGCCGCCAGCCCCAGAGACTGAATTCCTATTTCTATGAGTGCCCCGTTTTCAGATTTTTCCTAAATCAGAAATTCAGGTTGTAAAAGATCAATCACGCACAAAATATTGGTGCAGAATTCTAATTCATGTTTGTGGAGGAGTTAAAAACTGAGATGTGTCCTGTACCTAGGCTAACTCTTCATGATGAAGGGTA